TAATTTATGAATAAAACTTACCTTCATCAAGGTTTGAACCACTGAACTCTTGCTTGATAGTCCACAGTACTACCAATTATACCATCAAGGATTTTGTTGGTAGTAATGTTTGCAAATTGTTTTTATCTTAATTGTAATTTATTACTGAAGAAAATTTTTATATAATGCTGGCTCAACCCTTAAAACCTAACCCTAAACCTAACCCAAGACCTAACCCTAAACCTAACCCTAAACCTAACCCTAAACTGATATGTACTGGATTGAGTTATATTGGACTGGYTMAAAATAARCTGAACCAGTTCAGAARAAATTGAAYTGGTTCAAAATCATATTGAACCTGAACTACAACATCTATGTTGAACCTTGGTCTTTTCTCTTTACAGTCCCATAAATATCTAAAGGGCACTATTTAGCTCGAAAATAATTTTTGCATATAAGCAGTCGTGCAAATTTTTCCATGTACACCAACACCGTGATCAAGGCCTTTAATGTTTGTACTTAATTACATATTAAATAGATTTATAATATAACTAGTTGAGTTTCATAAGTTTTACTAAAAGCAATTAAAAACATTGCGTACAACAGTTCCTAAACCAATCTGAATTTTGATTTGTTGGATCATTTGCTTATGTGCATGGACTCTTGCTATTCTAGTCTTCTGTCAATGTGTGGAAAATTAATGTTTAAATTATATTGTAGCGAAGCTAGAGTACGTGGCCTTTCCATGACAAATTGTTAGTCCATACGCGACGTCATAGACACACATTTATGTAATGATTACAAACGTAGCTACATTGTAAATTAGGCATACAATAGCAAATATATATATTCAGTTTTATTTAGCTTTCTTTGTTTCATTTAACAAGTGATTGCCAAAAAGTATGATAAGAAAACACACAAACACTGAAAGTTGTGAACTTTTTGTTTACACTAGTTTCCATGCCTATTGTCCAGTCTACTTTTAAACTCTGGTGAAACTTAAGAACTAGGGTATTTTTAAAAATTATTGTGGTTTATTTCATAAGTGTAATTTGCATGTACTAGTTCGTTTGTAGTCTCAAAGAAGAATTTTATTTTTTTACTCAAAACAATTTATAGTTTTTTACATAAGTTAAAAATACATATTTTAGACATTTTTTTAGGTGATTATTATATACGTGTACAAGTTGGCACAAGTTAACTGTAATTCATTTCTGTACTTGGGCTCACAGTTCTAGAATCAGCATGTAGTATTTAGTACTGATTTTGTGCTTTGATCACCAGATTGATTACTATTGCAGCTCTTTCTATTAGAAACCACTAGTAATAATTCATCTATTATTTCTCTCAGGTCACCACATCAACTTCTATTGACAAAGGTTTTCTCCCTTAAACCTGTCCTTCCAGTCTCAACCTGTTATAGTGAAGATAGTGGGAGTCTGGCTTTTAGTCAAGTTGATTCCTTGTTGGATTCAAGTGGATATGATCAAGACTCTTCGTCACTGTCCTCTCAAAATAATAGTCCTAAAGATTTCAAAATTAAAGAAGTTTCTATCCCAGTTGCTGTTCCTGGAGCGATTCCAGCTGGAAGTATTGAACCTGAAGATGACAGTGGGTTTACAGCATCACTAG